TTCTTTGACATTTTTATATCTATTTATGGAAAAATATATAATTTTTTTGTCACTTGTTTATTTTTAAAATTTTAGTATTTAATGTTTAATATACAGTTTAATTTTTATTTTATGATTGAGTCTTTAGGAGATTATTAAATATTTTGAAAAAAAAAAAATTGTGTTCAAGACAACGAAATGCTTTAATTCTCTCTTAAATTAGCGACGTTTGAATAAGTATTTGTGCATATCTGTCAAACAAGGTGTTATTATAAGCTTTATAGACTTCATATTATTATGATATATTATATATATATATGTATACTATTACTCATATACGAGTTTATCATATGAATTCTGTAATATATGTTAGTGACTCTAAATTAATGCTATTTTTAAATAGCAAATGTTTTATATCTTTAGGAAACATACATTTATGTAAAAATTTCGAAAAATATTTACATTTCGAAAACAGAAAAAAAAAACAGATTATGAAAGAATCTTTATATTATTTTATTAGAAAATCAATAGAAATATATTTATAGTTTTTGGAAATAAAAATTACTCGTAAAAATTTTAGTGAATATAATACGGGATTGGTTAGGAATGTAAGTGCAATAAGTTTATTTTCAACAAATAATTAATAGAATATAGTTTTATTTATTTATATAGTTACATAGTTTTATATATATAGTTTACATAGTTTTATTTTATTTAGTTTTAGATTATTTTTTTATTATTCGTAAAATGTCAAGTTCATTTATAAAAATATTAAATAAATGTTATACAGAAAAACTTATGTTCTTAAGATTATGATATGTAAGAAAAGAAGAAAACCGATATCGTTTATGTTGAACCATATTTCCGGCCTTTTGGAGAAACGCTGTATATTACCAGCTAAATCTTTGGTCTAGTAATTATCGAGTGGTGTCCGTACACAAATTTATACCTGGTTGAACTATATTTCCGGCATAGTAGTTTTGGTAGAGAAACGCTGGCAATATATGTTTAATCTTTCTTCTAGTAATTATGGAGGATCGTTATACGGTCAGAAATAGAAAAATGTTTGTTTTTTCCTCCTCTGTCTTATCGTTACTGTATCTGTAGTTGTAATTAGATGCAAATCCCATTTTTAGATATGTTGTACTGTAAGACACTAAATGATGATGATACCTTTTCGAATAGAGATTTCATTTCTTCCAATTGAAAGAAACATCTGTGGGTTTTTTAAATTAATTAATAAATGTCCAATTTTAGTCTGTTGAGTATCATGAACATGTTATTCCTCCATTCCAATGTTCGTCTATTTCCATTTGAAACATAATCTGTTTTTAACTATTCAACCTGTTCATTTTCGGGAAGAATTGATACAGGAGCTCATATCTTGAATAGATCGTCTGCGTTATGAAAATAAAGAAAAAAATTAAAGTGTAATAAAAGAAACTTTATATTAATAAAATGTTATTAGCTCTTTCTTCCTGTATTTTATGTCGAGTATTGTACTATGGTTTTTCACAGACTCAAAATGCTTTTAAAAAATTTAATATGTAATTTTTTATTATCTTAGAGAAATATTCCATTTAAACAAAACAAAAAAAATATATAGTTTATTAAAATGGTGAATACTAAACCACATTTTATCTACAATTTTAAATTATACATACATTTGTATATAATTGAATTATCAATATATGCATATTTTCTTATATAATTTAAAATATTCTCAAAACTTGGCATTCTCTAATTAAATTTTTTATCAATAAAATTAATATTTTATATATATTTTTCTAACTACACAATCACGTGCTTATTTATTAAGTTTATCTGTAAGTTTTACATGACCGCTTATATAAAGAGATTACATGACTATTTTTGCGCGAAAAATAATTTTTTTAAAATAGTTGTTAATAACAGAATCAACCATAAAACCGGTTTTAAATAAACACGATTTAGCCGGTAAATAGTTAATATAAGTAAAATAAAATGACGTCACTGTACATTTTACTCATAATTTATGAGCCTAATTTTCGATTATTCATTGTGAGACTTCAGCGACGCATGAAATTATTTTAAAAAAATTAATGTATGTAAAAAATATTGTATCTAGAATTTTCGGTCAAAAATATTTATTCAAAGTTATTCTGCTCACAATGAAACTTTAAAGTAAGTCAATTATTTGGATTTAGATATTCCATATTAGTAGTAATACTTTTATTTGTTTAAAATATTAACAGGTTAATTTTGGCAATGATTTTTCAGCTCACCATACTCAAAAACCTTACAAAAGGTCGTTTGAAAGATCTTTTGTAAACTGGCAACAGTCTTTTGCGAGACTGACAGCTCTTTTTGGTCTTTCTAAAGAGCAAATAATATATCTGCTATTAATCGATCAGGTTTTTCAATTGTCAGCTTAGGTTTACTTTGTGTTTTTAGTGTATAAACCTTTTCTTTTTGCACATTCTTTCTTTTAATACTCATAATATTACCCTGAATTTTTTTGTAAATAAAGAATCTGGTTCCTCTTGTTCGTGTTCTGCGCTTAACTCCACTATAGTAAAATGAAAACGATTTCTTGTCGGTTTTCCTATAATCCGCCCATCTTACTTCTTCAACAGCGAGTATTTTGAGGTAATATCTGCGTTTTTCAGCAGCTATTTCCATCATTTTGAGTGATGTTGGCATAGTAAATACGTTTCATGTTCCAAATCTTGGAACTTTTGTTTATATAAAATAAAATATATAAATATTAATAATTAATTAAAATTTGTAAAAATGGAACAATTATTTCTAAATTCATTTTTACTATATAAACATTTTAAAATATATATTTAATATATTTATATATAATATATATATTTGTTATATATTTGCATTTTAATATTTATAAATATTTATTTTACATTGATTTATACATATATTTATATATATTTAACCTATAATTTTAAAACTAATTAATTTTTTTTGCCACTGCTGTGTTAAAGCAGCAATACCTGCTACCATTTCTTTCATGACACAAGTTCAATTTAGTAAATAATTATTTATGTATAAATAATAATAATAATGGAACATACATCTTGCGGCTTTCCATCAAATTTATATTAAAATCCAATTGTCAAATTGCATGTGGTAGCGATTAGCAGGTCTTTAAGATTTCACCACGAAAGAAATAGAACAAAATAGCTTTCTACCACGAATTACAAATTATAAAACTTTTTTTAAAGACTTTTTTACCAGAATAGCTAAAATTTTACTAACGGTTTTCTGATCGATCTTACAAAGTCCTTGCGAAAGACTTTTAACGATTTTTCCCAGGATTGCCCTGTAAATGTAATGAGCAGTTCTATTAACGTTTGACATTGAGAAAGCTTTTGATAAAGTTTAGCATGTGGAATTGGTTACGAAAATGCACAGCCAACATTTACACCCCAATTTATAAACATACTTGGAAAGTTTCTGATAAATTAAAAAAATTCGAGTTAAAATTAAGAATCATTCTTCCTTCATCGGGCTAATCGAATCTGGAGTTTCGTAAGGTTACTTCTCAATTTATACCACTGACATTTCCATATTGATACACTAATAATACACTAATGTGACATGTAAACTATATTTCTAAAACTAAAACTAAAACACATCAAGACAAAAAAAGCAATTTTTACACAAATCCTAATTCATATTTAAGCCTTCTTCAAAAGTAAATAGCTAAAACGGATAGATAGAATGTCCATATATTCTAGTCATCGGGCTATCTTTGCTGTTTGATTGTATCGGCCTTAGTAAGACACTTAATTCTAAGCTGTAGAAATTCCAAAATTTCCTGATAAGTCAGAAACTCTGATACACATAAATATCTCGCTATTAAAACCATTAGCATACCATTGGCAAGGTTATTGCGTTTAAGCCCTTCAGCAAAATAAATGGTCATCCCAACAATGGTTTAATCCCGCTTAAAAGAAGCGAAAGTGTGTCTATATTAGTTGTGTCATACAGAAAAAGATTGATTGTGCTGCAAGATTGATTTCTATTGTACTTTTCTCTATAAAATGTGAGTTTCTTATCTTCATATAGAATGTAAGATTATCAATGGGACATTATTTAGATAAAAGTGTTCTAAAAAAGAGTTTAAAAATGAGCGAAAGATCCTATATAGCCGTTTAATATTATTTTCAAATATTAAATAAACGTATTATATGTACACTGTACCGAAGGAGGACTTGTTTACTATTTTTGTGGAGAACCTCAATATATATGCTGTACTCAAACCTTCTTTGATAAATTTAAATTGAATATCGAAAAGATTTCTAAATGCTATTTGTTGTACCTCGCGGAGATTTATTTAGTATGAAACATGATTGTGTGAGTGTGAGTGGTAATAATAGAGTAAGAAGAAGAAGGGGTGTATGAGATATGGAAGAGATGAGGGTGAAGGAATCCAATTCAAATAAGTGTGTTTCGTTGAATTTGTTTATTGCACATATAATGCTTGCTTATAAGGTTCGTGATTATTCAATGACTGATTTAAGATCTGCGTACTCTCCCGTGCGGTTATTGATTACTCTGAAATTAGATAATGCTAAGAAGGGTTATTGTCGGTTTTCACATATAGCTTCAGGGCTCTGGGCCTTATGTATTTTTTGACCGGATCTATTCTACTATCTCTTAGCTTGTCATTCGTGCGGATGTACCATGTCACTTTGAAGAGTCTTCGGAGAGCCTGATTTTGAGCAACTTGTAGCTTCAGGATGCTAGAGTCGGTAGCTTTGCTATATGCGACACACCCATAAAGTAGCGCTGGTCTAATTATCTGGCTGTAGATCAGCTTTCTGTTCTTCGCATTAAGATTGTTGCATTTGAAAAGCGGTGGTAACCATTGAAGTGTTTTTGCGTAACTACTTTTTTTGACTTGTATGTGCTTGTGCCAAGTGAACTTATTAATATGTATTAAATATAGTTTTATTCTATTGTCATTTCTTTATAGATTTAATTACTTATAATTATATATACAATTATGTTTTTTTTAGATCTTTCGTGGCATTCGATGGAAAAAAACGAATTATTGGAGTTGCTGCAAAAAATCAGCAGGTCACAAATATGTCAAACACAGTCTGTGGCTTTAAGCGTCTATTAGGTCGCAAATTTAACGATCCGCATGTTCAGCGTGAATTAAATAACATTCCAACAACAGCCGAAGCACGCAATGATGGTAGCATTGGCATGCGTGTAAATTATTTAGACCAAGAACAGCATTTCACACCCGAGCAATTAACAGCTATGCTCTTTACGAAGCTTAAGGAAACATCAGTTGAGGCCTTACAGGCCCAGGTAAATTGAAGAGTTATCAATAGGCATTATGGTTTTTCTAATATATTTTATTTTTGTATACTTAAGGTGAACGATTGTGTTATTACTTGCCCCGTTTACTTCACGAATGCTGAACGTAAAGCTTTGTTGGATGCTGCTCAAATATCGGGATTGAATGTGCTACGTTTGATGAATGAAACAACCGCTACTGCATTGTCGTATGGTTTCTACAAGCAAGACTTGCCGGAAGATAAACCGCGATATGTTATTTTCGTTGATTGTGGTAATTCATCACTGCAGGTCAGTGCGTGTGCGTTTACTAAGGGTAAATTAAAAATGATTGCTAGTACCTGGGATCAAATCGGAGGACGTGATTTTGATTTTGCGCTAGCTGAGTATTTCACTAAAGAATTCAACGAACGTTTCAAGTTTAAAACCAATGCACGTGCACGTTTGAGGCTGCTTACAGAAGTCGAAAAACTGAAGAAACAGATGTCAGCGAATAGCACAAAGTTGCCATTAAATATTGAATGCTTTATGAATGACATTGATGTTTCTTCAAGCATGCAGCGATCTCAAATGGAAGAGCTATGTGCATCACTGTTTCAACGCGTCGAACATACCTTTAGAAGGTTGTTACAAGAATCCAAATTGACACTAGACGAAATTCATTCAGTAGAGGTAGTCGGTGGTAGCACACGTATACCTGGTATTAAATCCCTAATTGAAGAGGTTAGTATTTGCTAAAATTGTTGTATATATTATGAGTTATTATAGCGGGTAAATACTTTTGGTAGGTTTTCTGCAAACCAGCTAGTACAACATTGAATCAAGATGAATCAGTTTCCAGAGGAGCCGCATTGCAATGTGCAATTATGTCACCTGCTGTGCGCGTACGTGAATTCGGTGTTACAGACATACAAAATTATTCTGTAAAAGCTAGCTGGGACGGTGAAGGTAATATGGCTGGCGGTGAAATAGAAGTATTCCCAGCTTTTCATGCGGCACCTTTTAGCCGTCTATTGACACTTACACGCAAAGAACCATTTGTAATGACAGTGTCATATGCACAGCAAATCCCCTATACAGATCCAATTATTGGTAAATGGTATATTAAGGATATAAAACCAAACGAGAAGGGTGAACATCAAGAAGTTAAAGTCAAAGTTCGTATTAATCACCATGGCATTGTATTGATTTCAAGTGCATCACTTGTAGACAAAAAAGAAGTAGAAGATTTGGGAGCATCAGCTGGCGATCATAATGCCCCAGAAACTGGTAGCGAAGAAAATATTGGCGAATCACAACAACAGCAACAACAGCCACCAAATGTGGGTGAGCCCATGGATACTGCTCAAGAGGTGAGTTTTAAATATATTTTTTTTATAATTAAGTTAAAAATATTTATAATATATATAAATAGTATGTATGTACAAATTATATCGGTGTTAGTATTTCATGACTTTTTATGTCATGGTTATAGCAGTTGAAATCTCAGTTGTTTCTTTAATATAAAAGAAAGTATTTACGGTAAACTTAAAATAACGCTAAATAATAAATAAATAGTCTTATTATTATATGTAAATGTAAAAGTATGCTCATCACATTATTGGTTTATTATTATTTTATTTCATGTGAACATTTTAAAATATATTTTTATTTTGCTTTGTTTATTTTATAATTGTGTTATATTTTTAATAGTAACTTTGTGATCACAAAAAGTTTTTTCAGATATGTAAATTAATTAAACTTACTAATTTATTATATAACATCTTATAGTTTATTTATTATATGTAATTAAATAAAAATTATTTAGGTTGTATACTAAAAATTAAAATTATTTTTGTAGTTCAAGATTAATTTAAGTAGCCAAGTTTTTATATCATTCACATTATAAAAGAAAAAAACGTACTTAAACCTAATTCACTTGTTAAGTGATTGTTTTTATTCCAACTTTGTAAATATTAACTTTATAAGTAATCCTTGTACTAGTTAAGCTTAATTAACCTTTACCAATTTTAGTCAAGCTATTTGTATTAGATATATTTTCTTGTTAAATGAAATAAATGCAGAAAATGATTCTTTATCTCATACTCAGCAAGATATTTCTAACATTTCAACACAAATGTAGCTGATAACCCTTTAACTAAAATATCTCAAATTGATTTACTTTCTATTCTTTTATATAGTCTCACAAAGTTATTTAATATGTAATGCTAGATTAGGTTAGGTTATACCTGCAATCACAGGAGGATTCCATTTAGGTCTATAGCCCCATTGTGCTATCGTATTATTAAAAACTCAAGCACTAAACCCATCTAGAACCTTTGGGAAAGCTTATGATGTTATTTAAAGAGAGGCCTTGAAGTTAGTCAGGATCGTCAGAAAAGAAAGCTCTTAAAATTTTAAAGTGAATGTGCCGAGCAGAAATAAAGCAGGTGGTACTTTCATCATCCTCACCACAACTGCATCAGATATAGTTGCAAGGGAGATTTAGTCTTCTAGCATGGTTAGCTAGAATATAATGACCTGTTAGTAAGCTTACTGCAAGACTGATATCTGTACGGAACATCTCTATGAGAGAGCTCGATTTTCTTCTATTAGTATGTGGTCAAATATGAAATGTTACTCATACGACTTCTCTCGTTTATTATCGTAAAAATAAGTTAAACTTAGAAGCGTGTTGTGAGATAAGCAGAGATGATAGGTACATATATATATATATATATATATATATATATATATAGTTCGTGTATATCGTTTACGTTTATCGTTTAATTGATCGTTTAATTGATCGTTTAATTGATCGTTAAATGAAAGCAATTAATAAAAAAAGAGAAAAATATATGCATTTTGAGATAAGATTTCTTAAAAAAACGGATGGGCAATTTTGTAAAAAATTAATTTTAATAACTTTTGAACCCAAACGAACAAGTTATTCTAGGTCATTTGATGAACAATTACTTTTCTACTATACTATTGACATTTTTGGGTTCCTATATCACTTACTAAGAAAAATAAACCACTTTTTTTTCTGTTTTTATCATTCTTGGTTCAGATCAAGTAATCATCTGCATTTATAAAATTTAGCAAGAAAACAGTTAGTATATATAATTGCTATTAACTTCAAAGTACATATTGTACAAATAATAAATATTCTTTCTAACAATACTAGTAAGATATTTCTAATACAAGTTTGTTATGGTCATCGCTCTCTAGTACATTTTAAGTAAACTGATTTCTTCTTAATAATTAATTATTAAACAAATAGGAATAATGTCATTATTGTTATTTTTATTTACATATAATTTATGCGTAGGCTTGTTATGAAAATGAGGATTATAATAACCAAACAACAGCCTCATCACCTGGAGGACAAGGGTGGGCTCAGCGGGTCAAGGGCTGGTTTAGTTCGGTACGTTTGCTATAAAAAGAAATCAAGCAATTTTTCTTTTTTGAAATTCATTAAAAAAAACTCATTTTAAATGTTTTATTTTTATTTGCTTTTGTTCAAAAACTTCTTTAAGTGTAACGAAAGAAGACCGCTCATAAGCCTACCCTGAGTGCTCCACCATACATTATTATGTTATTATGTTAAGAAAACATAAGTTATTATAATAAATTTTTAGAACAATTATTTTATATTCTAATAAACATATTATTTTTTGTTTGTTAATTTTTTTATAAAGTTTGAAATGTGCAAGTGTGATGAAGCGCAGTTATGTTTTTTTATAAACAATTAATGTTTCTTAATTTATAATAACTGCAGGGCTGTTGCTTGAGCTGTTTCCTTTTTGCATTCTTTTCTGTTAATCTAAAATTTTAAATGAATTTTTTATTCAATATGATATTAATGTAAATATATTTATTGTATGATTGTTTTAGGGCGGTGAAAAGAAAAAGAAATCAACGAAACTTATTGAACTTCCTATGGATGTAAAAACTCATGGTTTCTCTCCAGCTGATATGAATAATTTAATACAACAAGAATCAAGAATGATTGCTAATGATGCTAAAGAAACACAAAGAGTTGACGCGAGGAATGCTTTGGAAGAATATGTCTATGACATGCGTAGTAAATTGATGGTAAGGCATTTAGAATTGTAAGACTATATTGTTGTATATTACTATTAAATAATCAATACTTTATGTATGTATTTTATTAAAAGACTTGAAAATGTTGTTAAACAAACTTATTTAATTTGTATTATAAACACATATTACATATTGGTTGATTCAAGGCCGCATTAACATATGGACTATTTCACATGAAGTGAACTTTAAAAATGTTCTTTTATTTTCAACTATGTTTAAGCGTTTTATAGTTTATACATATGTAATGTAATTGTGAGCCTTTTCCCAGTTAGTGCATCTGAGCACTTTTACTCTTTGATAGCTGGGGAATTGCTGCACAGTCCCACCCATCTTACTGAGTAATTTTAGTGTTCCTCATAATCTTCGCGATTATAACTTTTAAGAACACATTTAAATTTAATTTAATTTTAAATACTTAGTACTATTCTTTGTAGAACTTGAAATGTTATTCAACGTTATTGAAGCAGCAAATATTTTGATTTTCGAATATACGAGTAATCGAACAAGTCTGTCAAAAATTTTAAAACATCCTTGCAAATTTGTTCTTCGAGTTGCTTGGACATTTTTCAAAACTTAAGAGTTCGATACAAATGTTCCAATTCAAGTATAATTGTGCTGGACAAATATCTAAAAGCAATATGTTTCTTTCTTACAGTTTCGGAATCTAGCAAGTAAATACTAAATAACTTTACTTTCTTTATAGTCATGGTATGTGGCAATGTTTATGTCGGGACAGAAGAGCATTCAATGCCTAATATTTGTCAAAAATCTTATTTAGACTACTTTTTTTAAAGATGGTTTTGTAACATAGGTCTAATTAGGCTATTATATGACCTTAAATGAACTTTTATGTACAAAATAGCCACTTCCACCTAGTCTAGGTTTGAATTGTTAATTCGTAGTCTCAATTGTTTAAGTCTAGCAAATACCCTCCCAGTTTATTTCTCGTTTGGAAATAATAAATAAATTATCTGAAAGCACTGAACCTTATATAAATCAATTTCGTTGACATTTCCATGTGTAATCTAATATTCTTTGATATATTATAGTATTTTGTGTATATGTATATTTAATTACTACTACTAGTCTACTCTATAAGTAGAATTCTAAGTCTTTCCTTCTTGAATAGCAGAATTTTTTATAACAGTTGCTTAAAGTTTAATCCTTAAAACAGGTATAAATTTCATAGTTTATATAGGTATTCATAAAGTGCTAAGTTATAGTATATAACCTCTATATAGAACATAAGTTATGTAGTACTGTATATTTTAACTAAAATTAGACTTTGTTAGATAATTTTTTAATTTATAAAATATTTTACATATTTTGAAAAATTTTCTGGTACGACCAAAGCTACGTTAAGCAAAAAAGATATTCTAAAGATAAAAAAGATGTTTCTCCGAAGCTTAAGCAAAACACTTATATTTTTACACTTATTTTTTAAATTTAAAATATCCTTGATTATGACACACTTTTTAAAATTAAATTAAATATAAGACAATTGATTCATTTTGTTTGATTTTAATTTTAACTTATAATAATATTATTAATTTGATTAACTTTTTTAAATAGTAAAATATTATTAGATAAAAAATTTTAAGTCTTAATTAAATATATTTTCTTTAATTGTTTATTCGAAAATTATAGCTATACAATTATATAAATTACAATTTGTTAGAAATAATGATTTTGAAGTTCTCTTTGTCTCTAGCAGTATGTACCAAGTCTCCAATTGTTCTTGCCCCAGTCCATTCTCGCACATTCTATTTAAAAAAAAATATTTAATACCCAATTGCTTATATATATTAACCTACAAATAATTTTCTCTTTAAGGATGGACCACTTGAACGTTTTGTGAAGGAGGCGGAACGTAATGCATTATGCTCTGAACTAACTGAAGTAGAAAATTGGCTTTATGAAAGCGGTGAAAATTGTGATCGTGATACTTACGTTTCTAAACTTAAAAGCCTCTACACTCAAACTGATCCTATCAAGGAACGTGCAAACGATTATGAAAATTGTCCAGGAAAATTCGACGAACTAATGCAGGTTATCAGTTTTGCACGTGCCGCCATTGGTGAATTTAAAAAAGGGTCACCCAAATACGATCATCTAACCGAGACGGAATTCATTAACATTGCTGAGGCTGTTGATAAAACGCACGCTTGGTATGAAAACAATTTAAGTAAATTTAAACAAACTCCGCGCACTACGGACAGTCCCGTTAAAGTAATTGACATTTTAAATGAAATAAAAACACTTAAAACGTGCGTAAATTCCGTAATTAATCGTCCAAAACCAAAACCAGCAACTAAAACACCTCCTAAAGAAACTGGAACCGATCAAAATGGCGAAGACACGGAAAAGCATGATGCGGAAAAGGGCAATAGCAACAGGGCACCTGAAGATCCTACAATGGATGTGGAGTAATTGTAGGCATATAGAAACTCTAAAAGTTTATTAAGAAAGGATTCGGTGTTTGGCTGAAAACGCTGTTAACATAGGGCAGAATATTATATACATTTTTTAAAATATCTTTACAAAATATAAAAAACAATCGAAAAAAAAAATACGCAACATCTTAATTTTAAATTATTGCTAATAAATTAACAATTTACTTAATCATTAGAACAAAGAAGATCTAGTTGGCGCCACAAGAATAAACAAAACAAATGTTCTTTTATTAATTGCGTATTTTTTAAAAATTTTTGTTTAAACAATATTTATAAATATGAGTAATTCCAATTGCAAAAAAAAAAAAATTATTTAACGTTTCATGAGTGCATTTAATGTATTTCTCAAATATTGTATTATTATTTTTTTGATTTGTATTTTGTTTAAATATGTTTTTTTTTAAATATATTTTTTTCTTATATGGATTTTTTTCGACTCTTGGTTAATTTTTTGTACAAATGAAATTTAAATTTAAGAAACCACTTCAGTTTTTCTTTTGTTTTAATTTAGTACTATCAAATTAATTTTAGTTTTAAGCTGGATTTAAAATATTAAATTTAATAATTATACATAAAAAATGCGCATAATTATAAATAGATTTAATTCTTGTGGACAATTAAAAATACATTTCCTTACGCATTTTTTATATAAATAATTTCCGAATTATATATACCAATACAACTGCATTAACTGTTATATTACAATATAATATATATTTTAACCTCGTAAAAGTTCACAATGTATGAATTGAGTTTTTCATTAATGTTCAACCATTTTCACTTTCATAACAAAAGATCGATTGTCCTTTGTTTAGATAAAATTAAAGGAAATGATAAAATTAAAAAATGAATTTAATACACAAAATGAAAAATGTATTTTTTTATTTAAAAATGGATTTAAATTGCGGCATAATCGAAAAGAATGATATGAAGCTTATTGGAAGTATTTTTCTATATTATTTAACCATCCACAGCGCTTAAACACTGGTACTGTTGTTACTAATTGTAGATTAGGTTTTCTATTAAAAGATATGTTTTTTAATACAAAGATGCTATGTTAAATACCACGATCATTTTATTTAGTCATATGAAGATATATAAATTATTCACTTTTCATAAGCTTCTTCCGTTAATATCTTGTTCACACAGCAAATCATAATTTTGTTTGTCATTTTTGTAGTTGCATCCGTAAAAGAAAACGCCGAATCGTGGGACAATATTTTTTGTTTTTGTTTTTGTTTTATTTTAAGAGAGGCTCAGTATTGTTACACAATTTTATTATTGCAAATTACGAATTTAATTTTGTACAAATTAAAATTCAATCGGATTGTAATTACAACTAGATTTAGTTATGAAGCAAGCCGACTGTGTTTTAAATGATCATTTCGTAGACACGATCATTTTGAGTAAACACGATCTAGATACACATTGAAAAATGCCTAGTTTGGTGTTGTCTATAAATTAGTGGAATAATGGAACAGTATTTCTTTAAAAACGAAGAGAATCTTAATGGCGCCAGGCATAAAGCCATAACAACGATTCATTTTTCTATGTGCGGGTAAACATGCTTTGAACGGATATTGGGTTGAACAAAAGTAAGTATTGCCTTCAAAAATGGAGTTGTGACATACCCTATTATAATGTGCGATTTACGGCAGTTAGAGTAAATAGAAGTCATTGATATATACGGATAAGTTTTCACCAATAAACACATTGAGGGCGTCAGTACTGAGAGTTGGCTTAATATATTCGAATATTTTAGGGAAACTTGATGTATGATAATTCTCTTCCTTAGGTGATTCTAAAACTAATCAATCAATTAAATCACAATTAATCAATTTAATTGTATTTGATCTCTGCTTATATTGTATACATCTTAAAAACACACTTTACCATATATAAATACAAATTTATATATGGAATAAATATAAATTTGTGTGTACATTATTAATTTATATAGAATTACTCTGATTTATAGAGTTACATAAATTAATATATTTTTTGTAAAAATTTTACCGGGTCAAGGTCGTTAAAAAGCTTATTAATAAATAGGTCGTATTAACAATTAATTATTAGTAATATTTAAAATTAAAATTAAATAAAATATAGATTTATTTATCGTTAGTGGTCAGAGCTTGAAATATTTGTAAACTATCGTCGGAATGTCAATCAAACAGTTGATTCTACTGTGAACAAGAGTTTTAAGTAGTGATTAGGGCACATTTTAGAGTTGATTTCTTAATAATACAATATAAGGGAAGATTTATACCTACGTTCAAAATTGTTCAAATAATATATATAGTTTATAAAGTACGATAACACTATCATTATATACATCACAATACAATAAATATGGAAAATAAATGGGATTCATGTATGAACCATGAAAATAGGCAACTCATTTTTGTGAGTTGAAAATATATAATATAGATGAGGTTATTCTTCTTTTGTATATATTAAAAATGTTGGCCCATACTTGTTTGCTGTCTGTTGCTTAAACATATGTAGGTTGATAGAATAAAAGAAGTCTAATTAATTAATTGATAATATCGGAGAATTGTAATCGTGACACCGACGTATATTTAAACTCTAGTATTTATAAAAGACATTTTGAATTTTTTGTTGCTTCCTAGTAGTGTAGATTTAATGCAGTCATTTTGATTTTAGATTCTATTTAGGTAGGTAGGTAGGTTATACCGGCTATCACAAGGGATCCATTTACGCCTATACGCCCATATACGCCCGTATAAATAAAAACTTAATGGTTAGAATTACTTAGAATCTTTGGCAAAGCTTATAATGCTATTCAGAGGGAGGTCTTGCAGTTTACCAAGATCCTCGAAAAAGAAACCCCCTAAAGTGATAAGGCGGCACCGCACATGTGCTAGACAGAAATAAAACAGATGGGAGGCATTTTCATCGTCCTCTCCCCAACTGTGATAGGTATGATTAAAAGGAAGATTTAGTCTTCTACCTAAAATGCAATGACCTGTAACACATTAGAACTATCTTTCTGTCACTATCTTATTAAGTTGAAAACGCGAATCTATCAATCTATTGTTAAGATTGGAGTATATCCAATATATGCATTACTGATTAATGAATTATGGCTGCTGGTTTATGAATTATGGTTAATGTTTAACAACTTTTTAATATTTAATTATTAACATATTTAATACTAATTCAAGGTACCTTAATTGCTAGTTAATCTCTTACTTTAAAAGAGCTAAAAATAATTTCACTATAAAATCAGAGACCTTAGCAATAAAATGAAATGGAAAGGCAATTTATCAATTTATTTGCATAAATAAAATCTATTTATTCCAGTCTGTGCAGAGGGCTAGGCTAAATGATTATCTTAAAGAATATTAATCACATGAGGATGGCAAAAAATTGTTCGTGCCAAGAAACAAAACCCAAACTGACTGAGATTCTATGTTAATTAATTTAAATTAGTTTTAAAACAATAAGCAAAAAATAGTGAAAATAAAACAGAAACAGAAATAAAAAATATGAATTAGCATAAAATCCAATCTGAATGCAAAATCACAACAGATAATTAAGAAATTTGTCAAGCTCTGATAAAATAACTGGCTCTCAAGCGAAGAGGCAGCATGACCTAAATCTGACAGCATATTGGAGTACGATTGAGAGTTACAAATCATCCAGCGCAAAGCTGTTGGACCGTAGGCGTTTTTCTTGAAGCGTTAAACTTTTGAAGAATGTTTTGCTTATCATGCTTCTGAGGTAGCTCTTCGTGGATTAGCACGTTTATGCATGGGAAGATACAGACAAACTCTTTGTTTATAAATATTAAATTGGCAAATAAACAAATTTCAATTTAATATCGAATTTGATTTAGGATTTGGTACAGATCAAGACTACTTAAAAATTCAGCAGATGCTCAGCTTATTAGAAACAAAAAAAAAAACATTTAATAAAACAAAAAGAAGAACTTTTAAGGCGTTGATCTATCGATCGATTGATAATTTAAATTTACATTAAAAGAAAGTTTTCTTTTTGAGTTTGGTTGGTGTTCTGTTTTTAGTGAACACTGAACTATAGTCGCGTTAAGATGGCTAAAATACAGCTCCTTAGTGTGCTGTTGGTGGTCCTTGTAGTCATCACAATTTTCTCAGCAATAAATGCTCAACAAAATCAACCCAATAAGAAGAAAAAGGGTAATCAAAATCAATTACAACAACAGCAACAAGTACGACCACGTCCTAAACCAACCGTTACGGACAATGGACAGTTACCGAGTCAAAATATTAAGAAAAAACCAAGTAAAAGTAAAAAACAAAAACCAAAAATAAAATATGTAATCAAAAATGTATCCAACCTGGGAAGCATACGTGGGCGAGTGTTAAAATCACAATTGACTGGTAAAAAAATAACTCAATTTGTGGATATACCATATGGCAGACCACCAGTTGGCAATTTACGATTTAAGGTAACATCGGAAACACAATAGATTTTGATATAACAATATATATGCTCTATTTACGCAATATGTTTATATAGCCCCCAGTGCCAACAGAGCCTTGGGATAATGTTTTAGATACATATAAATCACATCCTGGTTGCCCTTCGCTACAAATCATAAACAAGTTAAAGTCAACAAAGAAAAAGAACATAAATCTTGAAGATTGCTTAAGACTAACTGTTAGCACAAAATCGGTAAGTATGTCTTGCGCCCACATAGATAAACAAAATTAATTAACTGTTCATATACAGTCAACAGAGAATGCACCTGTAATGGTTTATATACATGGCGATTTCCTTTATGATGGCAGTAGCATGGAAGCTGCTCCAGGCTTTTTGTTGGAAGAGAATGTTGTATTGGTTTCCGTACGCTATCGGCTAGGACCATTTGGTTTTCTTTCTACTTTATCAGACGACATACCTGGCAATGTAGCAGTTCAAGATGTTATATTAGCATTAGAATGGGTACAGAAGTATATAAGTTCCTTTGGTGGTGATCCACAACGAGTAACACTTTTTGGACAAGTTGGTGGTGCAGCTTTGATAAATGTTCTGACAATGAGTCCAGCAGTAAGAAATTTGATTTCAGTTATAAATATGAATATAATTAGACCTTTCTATTTTAGGTACGTGATGGTCTATTCCATCAAGTAATATATCAATCTGGTTCTGCTCTTTCACCCGCTTTTATAACCGATAATCCCTTAACTGCTACACAAGATATAGCTAAGATAGCTGGTTGTAAAATTGTGAATACGGTCGATGCAATCAATAAGTGCATTCGGAAGCTGAATACTACAGCTTTATTAGATGCATTTAGTGCACATGGTGATGCTAAATCAGCATTGGGTATTGGGTCATATGGTGGAGTACAATTTGTTATAGGTGGTCCATCCGGTATTTTACCAGAGCATCCTGGCAAATTATTGACATCGAAAAAATACAAAGCATATCCTACAATTGGTGGATCTGTTAAGAATGCTGGAACATTTATTTTGAAAGGTGAGCTATAGATGATTCTATAATAATATTTTTAAATTTAAATAGTAGATGACTAGTAGAATAGTAGAACTTCATTTTGTTACTATGAGAAATGTAAATTTTTCGAACTAAAATTTTAGTTGAATTCGAATATTTCTATTATTCTATTAATAGATCTCTTATTATACCGCTTTTATATAAACACGGTTTTTAGTATGGATAATAGCAGAAATTATGTGACTAACTTTTAAAGAAAGTTACTAGAAACGTAATACCTACATAATTTGGAATCTGTTGCGATATGCTTTCAATAAAATTATTTTACAAATGTCACCCTTTTAGAGAAATCTATCGAATCTAAAAAAATCAAGCCTACCGATAAACTTAACAATATTTCTTGATTGAGGACTCTGGACTTTATTCAGTTTAATTTTCTGGCAACAAGTTAGATTAGGTTATACTAGTGATCCCAAGGGATGCACTTAGGCCTATAGGCCCATGGTGTTATTGTATAATTAAAAACTCAAGGATTAGAACCACTTAGAACCTTTGGCAAAGCTTATAGTGCTTTTCAGGGAGAGGTCTTGCAGTTTGTCAAGATCCTCGAAAAAGAAACCCCCTAAAGTAATAAGGGGGCGCTGCGCATGTGCTGAACAGAAACAACGCAGATGGGTAGTACTTTCTTCGTTCTCTTCACAACTACGACAGGTATGGTTGAAAGGCAGATTAAGTATCTTAGCATGGTTACCTAAAATACAATAGCTAGAAAAATAGTGTGTGATACAATCATGAGCAATCAAAATAGTTCAATGAAATCTAATGAGACCGTTTAAGTTAAGTGAAGTGGATTTTAGAAGAATTTCATTTTGTGTTTTGTTTGTAATATATACCTTGTTGTTTTATAGTGATTTGGAATTTAATATTATATAATCTTCTTTATAGATATTTATGTTGATAATTTCAATGAATCCATCATAGATGATAAATTAGATGGAAAGGGTTACATACAGTATATCATAACTCAAACGAATGGTCCTGATCCCACACTTGCTTGGCAGAAGTTTGCTAGAGATGAAATTTTCACTCCAGCTGAAATAAATAATGGAATGTTTTACACACTAATTCCTGGTTTAGTTGATGTACATATTATCTTTAACTTGTAGTTTAGAATTTTTGTGTAAATGTTTCATATCTTTTTTTCAGATGTGCAGCACAATTGCTTTTAAAAACCCTGTACTACTTTCGATGCAAGCTAATGCTCGCAAGCTGGCCAATAGCACATACTTATACACATTTGACTATGAAGGTGAATTGAATCGTTACTCCACACAGGAAGATGAAGAGGGTCTTATGCCCTTTGAATTGGGTGTCTCATTAACTGATGACAATCTGTATTTGTTCCCATGGCCAGGTTATAGTCATATCAATTCAAATAGAGATCTGAAAGTTGCAAAGCGTATGATAGCTTTGTGGACAAGTTTTGCTGCAACCGGAGTCCCAAAAGCACTTGGTATGCCAGAATGGCCCGCTATGACCGATGAAACTGGTCCATATTTGAAAATTGACAGAACCGTTACTATTGGTGATAATTATTTGGATGAATTTAATGTAGCAGCAAAAGACAATCAAATGGGTTACAATTTGGTAAATGAGGAGTTCTTCGATAGTTTGGTGGAAATAACAACAGATGATCAAAATAAAGAAACCAATTCCGAAGGTACGTAAGAAAAAAAATTATTAATTTAATTAAAGTAATGTATATAATTTTATTTTAAAAAGGGGAAAAAGATGAAGAGGAACATCATGAAGAAGAACAGCAAGAAGAAGGGGAAGATGATGATAATGACAGTGCAGAACACGAGAGAGGTGCAAAAATTATATTTACTGTGAAGAAAGTCATGTGAATCACTTGATACCATTTTAAAAGTTAGACAATTAAGGTAGAAAAAAATTCTTGAATAAATTATTTATTTATGTTTTTAGTTATATAAACATCAATACTAGAAAATATATATGTGAATGTTTTTTTTTTGTTTTGTTCTCTATATATTGCTCACATGTTTAACTTTCTCATTCAAGTTAACGCAATCGACAATAAAAAATCTGCCATTAATTTTGTGCTAAAACTGTGTCAGTTGAGTGCTTGAGGTCGTTATCATTTCTTCTGAAGCGAACTTAGCTAAATTAATTAAGTTAAATTATGTATTCTTTTCTTTTATGGAAAGTGATAGCACTCAGCACTTAAAATTATTAGAATAATTTAAAATATTAATTATGATAGAGTTAAGTTGTTAAAATATTTAAACATCTTATTAGTAAAATTATCTTAATACAGAGCACAGAGTTTCTGGGTTCTCATTGATTGTTTTTACTCGGATATATACAACAACTATTTAAACTTCAATATTTTTAATTAAAAATTATTTTTGTGGTATGACAAGAATTCTATTTCAAATAGAAAGTTTAAGTTACACATTGTATTAAGATAAGATAAGAGAAAGAACGGGGTACTAGCTTCCATTTGAGCAGAGCACTGCGATCATGATTGATGTTTTGTGCTTCAACAGACCCTAACTGAACAGAAGACATTCCGCCTTCCGGATGAAGGCTAAAATTTCGGCCGTTGAGGACCTCCTAATGTCGAAAGGGGAGAGCATACACATTGTATTAAGAGAATGATTAAATATTCTTTCCGCTTTCGCCTATTATAAACCAACCGTAGACTGACAGACAATATGCATCAATATCTATACAATATATTTATACAATAAGCGATCTACAATAAGCAGGTATACAGAAATGTTTTCTCCATATAGTAAAGTGAAATTAAATAGTATATAATATAAATAAATAAAATAATAATAATATATAATAAAAATATATATTAATAATATATAAAAATAATACATAATAATAATATATAATAATAATAATAATAATAATAATAATAATATGAAATAAAATAATAATTAAAATAATAGTTATCTATATAGTTGTAGAGAAGATTAAATATATAGCTAGGTTAAAATATATAGGTTAAAATATATAGCTGTAGTTAATGTGTTAATTCTAGTTTATAGAACAGTGTAAATGCAAGTTTTGTTTATGAAAAGACAACATAAATTGCCAAAACTCTAAATTTGAATAATCCAAATGGAATGTAAGTTGGGTTTGTGTCTTAATACGTAAGTTTACAGTCCAAATTTAACATTTGTAATTTAAAAATTATATGTGGATACTTATAAACAATAGATATTTCTAAAGATCACTGATGATAGATATTTGGCGATATACGAAAGAGCCATATGGATTCAATTAAAAATTTATTTCGGAAATCTATGATCCTGGGAACGGAATGAATGGCAGTCTGAGTACAATAACTTTGGTATTTTAAATCGAAGTCTACCTAATTAATATCTGCAGTATATATTAACTATCAGAAAACTTAAGATACAAAGGTATGATTCTCATGTCACACACTTAGAATGCCATTAAAATGTTAAAAACAGTCTCGACAAATTCTGAGCAAAGTTTAGGAGATAGTAAGTATGTTACAAAACCTGACAGTACCAGTACAACTGTACTTCATTTTAATGGCAATGAAGTGGCGGACGAATTGGTAAGGGAAACTAGTTTAAGGTAACGATATGGGCTAAAACCAATTCGTGCAGTCTGCCAAAATCTTTTCATGAATCTAATCAGAATGCACTTTACCAATTAAGCAAACCATAAGTGGTTTAACTGAGAAGGTTTCGGATATACCAAGTTTTTATTCGCAAACTACTCAGAGCAGAAGAGCGAATATGTTCTAAATCGAAAGAGATGGGACTTGCAAACAATTATTGTAGTGATAATTGGTCACTTTTAAGGAATATAGGAGAAGAATTATTCACAAAGAAATTTTTAATAAATCAAAGTGGGCAAACATCTATCTGGAAAAGAAAACGAAATTCTTTAGTAAATATGGATAGGGTAAATACAATAGTACATCAATAGACGTAGCGTCACGAAGAGATAATGTTTGAGCTCATCAAATACTACTATTAATTAATAATGGAAAACTTTATTAGATTAGAAATTGATGAACGATCTCAGCAAACAATAATTTTTTTATTGTATGAATATATACAATATAGACAACTTAGCCACGCTACTGATTTTTATGCTACTGATTGTTATATATGAAATTAGATTGTTATTAATCTTTTTATTAGCAATTTATGATATAAAGCTATGAAGATTTAAAGCACAAGTCTTGATATTCAGCAGACGTAGTAATGACAAATCAAATTATAAGACAATAGGGGACTACGATGTAATAGATAAATACAATCGAGTAATTAGGTTTCTTTATAACGAATATTGGAAAAATTCGAAGAATATAAAATTGTTTTGAAAAAGTAGCAATTATTAAACTTATAAAACTATTGACACATGGAACCATCTCTAAATCTACATTTAATGGAGTGTAGAGTATATACAAATGATCCAAAATTACCATCGAAGTAATTTTTATAGAACTACAAATTAAAAAATTGGTTGGACAAATTTTATTAGTTTATAAATATTCAGGCCTATTCTGAATCGCAAGGGAATGCGAGTTTGTTCGCTGTTCCCAATTCCCCTATTCTGAATAAATTTGGTATGTTCCCTGTTCCCAATTCCCCTATTCTGAATCGCATGCGAATGTGAGTTTTTTCCTAATTTTGCACAAATTCTCTCGCTACCAAATTGTTGGGGAGACAAGTTAAAAAAGTATAAAAAATAGTTTAATTTAATATAAAAGTAACTGAAAATGATCAGATTTTTGAATATATTTTAATAAAATTATTATTATAATAAAATTATTACAATTAATTTAATATTTTCAAAGTTTTATTTTTTGATTAGTTTTCCGAATATATTTTAATAAATTTAATATAACAAAATTTTCATTTAATATATTTTATTAAAATTATTATTTTAATAAAAGTATAACAAATTTGAAAAATTTAAATTTTTATTTATTTATTTTATTCACACGGGTTTTTTCCACTAATTAAAGTGTTAACTATTGTTTTTAAAACAATAGAAAAATGAAAGGAAACCAAATTCTGAAATAAGTGGATTCCTAGAATAAGTTAAAATAAGTTAAAACTGCAATTATGTTCAGGTAAAACATTGCTTCTTTTTTATTGTAAGATCTTTATAGGTATAAACTAGTATTAGTTCATTAATTTAAGCATGAAGGACATTTCTATCCTAATTATATAAAAAAAGTAAATTATAATTTACGCAAATTTTGTATAAAAGCAGTGAATGTTTGAAAATAAAGACATTGAAGAATTGATATCATAACGTAAGGTTGTTTTTTAATTAGTTTAAAAGAGAGTTAAAAATTTAGAATTTAGCATTTGGTTTATTTTGCTCATGCATAATTCTTTTTATATATTTATTTTACTCATTAAAATAAAAGTTTCTAATTGTTTATTATTTACTCATAAAATAACTTATATTTATTTCCGATAATTTGTGCAGCAAACAAATAATGCGATTTTTACATTTAAATCAACATATGATACGCAATTCTTTTCTTTGTTTTGCTCATTTTCTCACTTTTCGTCATTAAAAAGTGGCATGGTTGCCAAAATTTAACAAAACAAATTTGAAATTGTTGTTGTTCACGAAACTGCTGTCTCCCTAGCGATTCAGAATAAGGGAGCTGTGTGTTCGGGAACAGCGTGCGAATAGGGAGTTTTTTCGCTGGGAGTATTCAGAATAGGCCTGATTAATAAATGTCACCGCCAATAAATCCTTATTTGGTCGAGTAGTCGAGTACGTGATCCAAATTATCTTAGGTTTTTCTTCGAGAGTGGTGATTTCGAAAAATTTTTTATTTTGGGTGAACGTCTTAGATATACAATAAAAGAAAAAAAAATAATAAAATGCATACACCTATTAAAAATTAAATTGAAAGATACTTAACTTTAACTCCATATTTTATCTCTTTACTATAGCTCTTTCCATAGAATGTAACTACATTTTTTATTATATTTATTTTATTTTATTTTATGGTAATAATTCATTATTTAAATAAATTAAAAACAACTTCCTTAAAACTGTAAAAATGATTTATTTGACAGAATTAAACTGTCTCACGCCATCAACTTACAGTAAAATAATAATTAAATATGGAACCACAATTAAGTGCTCTACTGCCCTATTAGAACACCACAGAACAAAGAGAAATTTCGGAAAATAATTAATGTATTCAACGGAATTATGCCTTAGTCCAATAAAAAGCCAAACATGAGAATAGCTAATCCTACTAATGACGGTAAACAAAATCTGCTACTAGGCGTTTGGAATAAAACAAAATAATAGAAAATAGAAGAATAACTGAAAACAAATATTAAACTAAGAAATGTTAACAAAATTTAGAATAAATAAAGATTTAAATATTTACAATATTTCACTTAAAAATGAACATAAATAAATTTATGTTAACTTATGTATGAGTTTACGAAGTAGGTTTCGTAAATTTTCGAATATAACTTAAGTATCATTATATTTTTTAAATAAATATAAGATTATAGTAGAAGGAAATAACAGCTTGTTTCATCTATAAACTTTATTTAAATTAATAAATTATTGTTATTAGTTTTCTATTTAATACGTTTATGGTAGCAGTAAGGCAGTTATTGTTAATTAAAATCATATTAAGGAACTATTTTTGGCTAACAAGATACATTCCAAATTAAATAGGAGACTTTAAAAATAAGGATTTGTATGAGTGCCATCTATTGGCTATTATATGTATTAGTAATGTAGATCCCTAATTAATTTTTTTTTAAATTTTATGATATTGGAATTAAGAAAATCAGAATTATTGCGCTTAAAGCTTTTCAAGTAGGTTGCTATAATGCTTTTACCTGCTTTTTGTTTAAGAGTGCCATCTATAGGCTATTATATGAATTAGTAATGTAGATCCCTAACTAATTTTTTTTAACATTTTATGATATTGGATTTAAGAAAATCAGAATTATTGCGCTTAAAGCTTTTCCAGTACGTTGCTATAATGCTTTTACCTGGTTTTTGTTAACGAGTGCCATCTATTGTCTATTATATGTATTAGTAATGTAGATCAATAACTAATTTTTTTTAACATTTTATGATATTTGAATTAAGAAAATCAGAATTATTGCGCTTAAAGCTTTTCAAGTACGGTGGTATAATGCTTTTACCCGGTTTCAGCAGTTTTCCGAGAAGGTAAAATTCACAGTGTCCAATAAGGTGAATAGAGAATATAGTATAATGCATTTATTAAAATGCCTTCATAATCAGCAATTAAAAAAATTGCAAATTATTAGTTAATCTGTGGTGTGAATCGATATGTTATTTAATTTCCGCTTTGGTGGCAGAATTCCCGTTTCTATCCTAGTATCGTATCGGCATTGTTTTTTTACCCCACAGCCGATTATAAAAATCTAAGTTTTAAAACCAACTTGCACGATTTATAAAGAACATAATTAAGTTCTATGTTTCGGATGTCTGTCAGGCTTCCAAACGCCGGAACATTTCTAAAAAATATTGCTGTAAGAATATTAATATGAATGTATTGTTATGGAGTATTAGTTCCTCTGTTGAGGCAGTTTCTGAGCATTGTCTAGCTGATTCACTCGCAATTTAATTTCTTTGTAGTACTCAGTGTCTTCGAATACAGATTAATGATATTATGTATTGGTAACTCACTGTTCTCAATTCCGTTATATATTTTTTTTATTAGCTTTTCCGTAGATCATGCGTTTATAACAATTATTTTAATATAATTTTTTTTCAGAAAATATCCGTATTTGTAATTCAAATAAGGATACTTTTAGATATGTTTTATATAGGTAGCAGTTGAAAGTTCACATTTTATCTTTTAGTGCGATGTGATATATGGTTTATTCATTATAACTCAATAAGTAAAGTAATCATTAGTTGTAATTATTGAAATGATTGAAAGCCGTGACTCTTATCTCACCAGTCAGATGAAACTTCATATGAACGTTTTAGGTGTAATTCTAGACCGACTACTATAAGATAATTTAGGTCAGCGATAGCTGCGCAATTGAATATAAAAAACGGTTTCAGCCAGGAATTTTCTATATAAATGTGATGAAAATAACAACCTGATTAATACATATAATAATTTTAATCTTCTTATCATATGTTCTCATATGCTCTATGTATTTTTAATCAAGGCTACAGATGGTTATTATATATTGGGTATCATGAAACAGTGAAATCTTTGAAAACTGGAAGAGATTAACAAAATAATAAAAATTAGTTTAACAAAATTAAAATAATGACTTTAATTTTTCATTTTTAATAATTTGATAATTTCATACTAATGATACTTTTACGGCTGCCCTCGTTTATTTAATATGCAAATTTTATGTGGAAATAAAATAAAATAAAATTTGCTATAAACATAGAATCGAAATGATCACAACTATATTTAAAAACAAATTAGTAACAAAATAGAGGAAATCATGATCGAAGAAGCTGAAACTGACGACCACAAGTGAATGGCAGGTTAAAAGTTAAAGTTTACCTGCTTGATTATAGGTTCAATGGAGCTTATTTGGCAGCTGTAGAAAATTTACAATTCAAAATACCAATGATCAATAAAAAACGGTTTAGTATATATGTACATATATAAAAAATAAAATATGTAAAAGCATAAAACTAATTTACTAGAATCAAAGGTGACGATATTAGTTTTTTGGAGTTTCGGTACTCGTCTGCAACTTTCATTGGAATTCAATTATGAACTGAAATGCCAGTGGCAACTTTCTGTCAATTTATTTAGTTTAAAAGTGAAATGACAAAATATGTTTAAATATAATTTAAAAATTTAATAATATATATTGAAAGTCCAAGCGTATAATTACCATCATATTTAACTAATGTGGGTACATGGAAATTCCATTGGTTTTAATTGATCTCATGCAGCAAACTATCTGTCGAAATCATAACGTAAAGATGAACCCGCAGGCTTTTAATTTATTCTAGTCAATATTTGTGTTGCCAGTCATTTATTTAAACCAGAAAAATATTTATTTAACAATTAATAATAAACAAAATAAAACAATTTAGTATAATGTACCCCGCAAACAGAAATATACAATTAGTCGGAAGCGGAGAAATGGGGCTATTTAATTTTTACCTGATATTTTTTGGGTGGTTTGTTTTATCTAATGATGCCGTGAAGTGATATTTGCATTAAGCTGTTTAAATAGATACTGGCATATCCGACTACTCAAATTAGCTATTGATTGTAGTGAATCTTTATTAGATAGAAGTTATATTAAAAAACTATTATATATTTTTGATGAATATTGATTTTATTTCAGTAATATATACATGTATTTTTTATTTTATTATTTTTTTTTATGTATTTATTTATGTTATATATTTTTTTATTTATATATAAACTTATATTTTATGAATAATGTATATATTATTTATTTATGTATTTATTATTTGGAAGAGTTTTGACAAAATATACGTACTTAACAATAACAACAAAAACGAAGTACCGGAAGGAATACTAAAACACAGTTCAACAATCTCCAGGTAACATCACATATGTGAAGGAATTTGCAGATTAATTATTAGTACTAGTGACTGGACGTTCAGGCAACTTTACAATTAAAGAATACACTATGAAAAAAATTTTAGTGCTTAACAGATTCTTAAAATTTCAAATAACTTTAGGTGTACATTTTTTATAGGCTGTTGTGACAACAAGCATATATGATAATTAATTCAAATAATGACAAATAATTCATACAAGAACAGTTCCAAGCAGTTAATAAAGTATATTATGCATATATCGTGTTATAGAATTCATGACTATCATTACAATAGACCCCGTACTGTAATTTCAGAGTGATAGTTCCAATAGACGAGTTAGGATTTTTATACAAAAAATACTACAAGAACTATTTGATCGAATAAAGGGTTAAAGGGACAGTTATGAAATTGGACCCTTTCGCAGTGGAAGAAATGAGTTGAACTCATAAAAGAACAGTGACTAATCCGTAATTCATACGTAATGTCAAAATATCACAGAAATAAGAACGTCAGTAATCTCCAACTAATAACTGAACTAACCAAATGAATAACTGATAATTACTGATAACAGTAGTTATCAGTAACATAGTGAATGATGTTATCGCTCCGTAGACAGGAATGAAAGCGTGTGATCAATATAGTTAAACCTCACTTGTTAAAAATAATTATAATAATGATTGTTTTTTAATATATGTACAGATATATGTACAATCAATTATAAAGAATTGATTGAGCTAAAATAAATTATTTTTTATGAATAGTTACAAACTTTATAGAACTCTAAAAATACAACAATTTCATTTGACTTCGTTAATTATTTGAACTTTTCATTACAAAGAAAAGCTACATTCTAAAAAGTATTAAACAAATTTTCTATATTCTATAGACCTATATATTTGTGTAGGTTACTTTAGATCCAAGTCAAATAATTTATTTTTTATGTCAGTCAACAAAATTATAAGTTCTTTTTTTGCACACATTTTGAATGACATGTCAGTTCTATATATTTATTGTATATTACACATATCATTAAAAGTGATTATAATAGATGTATCGATTGACTTCAGAGTGATAGAATCAATATTGACGCTATAGGTTCTCTCTTTCAAACCCTGATAGAGCAGATGTGCAATATTATTTGTTTTCTCTACTGAACCGTATATGGTACAGTACTCAGCCCACCTAAGAGGTAGTACTTATTATTAGTACAGTAAATATATTACACAATGATAGATGCAACCAACTCCTATCACTTGCTTTGCTATTTTTTGTTAGTGTCAAAACCAAAAAGTACGCTTAATTTTTTTTTTTTTACACTAGGTGGAAAGCATCTTCCATATGAGACTTGAACCCACTAAAACTATAGCTCAGGAATGCATAGGGAATAGATTCCGAATAGATTCAGAGGACCATGCATGTCCGAGGCTGGAAATCTCATTTCAGAATACTTCCAGAAAAGGAATAAATTATTAAAAGGTCTAAATATATCTAAGCCATAAAAAAAAATTGTATACGGTTTTAGAGGTGGGTAATTGTAAATGAAGTTAGAACAACTAGGTTTAATGGATTATTTAAGAGTACAATCTATGTAGGGGGTTACTATAACAACGGTTATACAACGGGATTATTCTTCGTGCTAGCATTGGTCTGTCTTTCTAAAGTGTTCTGTTCAGCTAGCTAAATTGAGGCTAGGGAATCCCTATATATGGTGCAATTGATGTTATATGGAATCATGTAACCAATTCATTGGAGCAACAATTTAAATAATTTAAGGTTTACCGATAAATACAATTACATCTTGTTCATTTTAGATGTTGTAGGTAGGACCATAAAGTTTTGATTACATTGACTTAAAATGTAATTTTATGTTAGCAGAATTGTTCTTTTGATGAATTTTAATATAGAGGTGAAAATAAAGTCATAAAAATCAATTACTAAAGTATGTAAATCATTTTCACCTATATGTTTTTTAATGACCTCATTAAAGTCATTGAAGGGAAAGACTCTAATAAATTATTAGGAAGTTGTAGAAATAAAAAAAAAAGTATGATCATACAAAATTGGATCCATAAAATTTTGCTAAATAGTTTCCATCAAATTTAGGTCCACCATATTTAACACCCTCACTTAATGTAGAGTATTTAAAGCAGTTTGTATTTATACTGAAAATTAATTTTACTTTTACAAAATCTCGTAGAATCAGAAGTGCTGACATGGAGAAGAAAAGAGAATGATGGAAGCAATAATGGCCAGCATATTTGCATATCAAATCGATAACCGTGCTTAATTTCTGTTTTATGTTCTTTTGTTTTTCGCTATTGACCGCGGTGTCTTTTTTCTAGTCAATTTCAGTTAAATGAGCCATCATCTGTAGATTCTGTAGAAATTGGTTAAATACGTTTAAAAAGACTAAGAGTGAAATTTTTCTTAATTCTTTATATGGCGAGGGGAGAATGCAAAACTTATGACTTTTTTTCTAAGCCAAACTTTAAACAAAACCGGAGACTTAAAGCGTTTTCTTTTTGGTGTGAAAGGGTCAGTCTTGCAGCGGTTTCGGAAGTGTGCAGTGTTTTGCAATATAAAAGTTACGAGAAATCCATTTTAAAACTGTTTGAAATTGTTTGAAATTTATAGAAAAATGTTCGCTACTAAATATTTGAAACAATTTGTTTTTGTCGTTTCGGTCGTTCAGATTTATGGATATAATGAAGAAACTGATACAATAGTAAATTTACCTAAGCTAGGTTCAATACAAGGAAAAATTTTAGAAACTTCCTGGACAAAACGCGAAGTGTTACAGTTTGTGGATGTTAAATATGCTGAACCACCCACTGGAAAATATAGATTTAAGGTGGGCTTTAAAAAAATTATTAATTTAAAAAAATAATTAATTTTAAACATACTGTTTCTTAACATTTTTTTATGGATTTCAGTAAAATTATAAAAAAATTAAAATATAGACTTAAAAAGAAATTACATAGAAAATAGCAATAAGTAATTTATTTCTTCGTTAAATACATAAGACAGGTGATCGATCCTTCACAGATGATAAATAACTATAATATACAAATTGTGTAAAAAATAATTGCTTAATAGTAGTTGTGATTAAATAAAAATTAAAATATCTATATATGCACATAAATAATAAGGAAATATGCAAATGAATTAAAATATTGTTGAAAACGCACATTCTATAAAAGATATATCCTGTTTTTAGAGTGATAAATGTTTGATATGCATGTCGCATTATAAAATATCTGGTTAACATTTTAAATAAATTTACAATTCGGCTTACAGAAATTTTATTAAGTATTTAAGTTGTATTATTACAGCTATTAATAAAAAACAGTGTCATTTATATGTTCAGTACTGAAATTTGCAGTCAGGCCCGTAGCTATGGAGGGCTAAAGCTACCCAAAATGTATCGAAGGACTATGTGTTATGTCTGATTTCTGATTCTGGCATAAACAATAGTTTGTCTTAATACCAACTTAAAATTTAGAATATTAAGCTATAAAGTTCATGTATGGACCAATATATAGATATTGATTTCAGATTGAATAATAATTGTCTTTAGCTCTTTCATGTTACGAGTGTTAACGTAAACCTTGATTTTAAAACAAGCGATAATCAAAAGTTTATTAATATATTTATTCTTGATAGCCGTTTGTTGTTATTATTCTGATAAATTTTTCGCCTATGAAATTTCGTTTTCAAAAATTTGATAACTCCATATATTGTGTGAATCATAGTGAAAATTTCAGAGCTTCAGATTATTCAATAAAAAAAGGGTTTTGTAGAAGAAGATTTTAATTAGTGTAGCACTCTACATTATTGGGTGCATGCAAGAACAGTTAACGACATTGTCGCAAATATCTGCAACATTGTATGTCGCATGAAGTACCATTCTGCGTAGGACATTATAATGCCAATAATCTTATTTAAGTAAAAGTACAACAAACTGTAACTTTTTGGAAATCTGATAATTTTATTGAACTATAAGTGAATTCTCTTTCTTTTATAACCAACGATGTAGGTTTATCATGAATTTATATAATTAACTGCTAAATATTTATTATATGCAATAAATATATGTGACATTTAAAACTATGCGTAATGCAAAAAACATTATTAGTGATTAAAAGTTCCAGTGACTCAAAGTACAGCGAGCGCAGAAGACCTGTGTATTATAGGTCGTGTACTACAGGATTTTATAAGAAGCATTCCGTATTTCGAGATATAAGTTAGTCATATTTAAAATCCAAACCATTGATTTTAATTTTTTTATTATAAATATGTTAAGAAATTATATATATTATTATTTTATTAATACAATATTATTTTAATAATATAATATTCTTAATATTGTTAAGAAAATAAATACATACTCATCAAATTTTTGTAAAATCTGTACCTAATCAATCACAAATGCTTGGTAATTGTTTTTGTTATTAGCTGTTTTTTCTAATTTATTGAAATATTATTCAGTTTTTTTTCATATAATTATGGAGTGCTTCTTGGTCATATAATGTATCATCTGATCGGTGAAGTCCATTCCAGCGTACCATGTGACTCATTAGTTTGTAAAGCGTGTATCCTAGTCAATTGTATTTCTTTTTCTTTTATCGTTTTAGATACGATGTTGATATGTAATGTTTCTTAATGTAAGTTGCTAATGATTCTTGATCATTTGTTCTTTAAAATTTTCCATAGACATGTGTTCCGATATATCTGCAGTTCATTGCAGACAATATTTGCAAACAACAATGATTTAAATCTACATAGTTAGTTGGTTGGTTGTAGTGACATGTTATCAGATAACCTTTCATGTACCTCAATATCTCAGGGATTTTTAGTTATTTTACTACCAGTTTCCTCACAAGAAACCATTCATCCCATTGAATTTAGTTAATTTAAAAGATCTTTTGACTTTACCGATGAACTGTTTGATAAGCTGTCCACATAGCACTCACAGAAAACTTTAATTTCGTCGTTGCTTGTATTCGAGTAGTTTCGGGTAGTTTTTCCATATGTATTTATGACTTCCAAAATTATTTCTTGCATTCGCTACCTTTTATTAACATCAATTTTTGCGTTAATTTAAGTTTAAAGAATACTGGAGAGATGCCCGAATTGATTAACATCTTTAATATATATCTTACTTACTTACTTATCAGCCATTACAGACGTGAGTCGTCCTTGGTCGCGTCGAATAGCCTCCGCCAGCTTCCCAGATCAGTAGCCTGCTGTCACCAGTTGGTAGTACCGAGCGCCCCCAAATCGTTACTTACAAACAGTTACTTAATTTGAGTGAAGATTATTTTTAACCTCTTCTCATTTTTGCAGACAGTATTATACTTGCGACTGCATTAGAATGTGTATGCTTTTGAGAGAAACCACTTGAACAGTATATTCTATATCTTCGAATTTAATTTGAAGACCCTAGTCGATCACAGTGGTCTGCATATCAATTATTTTGAAGTTGTTTTAAATTAACAAGCTAAATAGTGAACATACAGTGTTCTTCATTATATTTTTATATAAAGGAAGTGCTAATAATGTACAATTTACTGATATATATTACTTTAGTTTACTATTGGAAAACAATCCTCCAATTTTTTTTATTTATATTTTTTATTTTAAAAATAAAGACAACTGAATACATCATATTACATAAGACACAATTTAATGCCATATCATACCTGAAACATAGAAATCAACCAAGTCCCAATTGGAAACTAAAGATATTGACTATCAATTTAATGTATCTTCGAAATATGCAATCCTGTATATAGTGAGATTCTTACTATAGCATTGTAACTACATTGATTCAATACAATTTAAATTAAGACGCCGATCTTTCATAATTATTAATCTGTCCAAAAAGAAAAAAAAATGTATACATATAAGAGTTTATTGATTTCGTTATAGTTCTACAAAATTTATTACATATATATATATTTAGCCTACTAAAACATGCTTAGAATATGTTATCCTGCATATTTGTATTAGTTTGTAATTATAATTTTTATTCTATATTATGAATGAATTCTATACTTCAGAAATTTACCAGGACTATTGCAATCACAACCGGGATCTTCAATTTAAAACTATTTAAGTATTGTATAAAACTACTAGAGTATCATTACTTGATAATCAGAAATTTTGTCAGAAAGTTGGTTGAATTATCAACTAACGAAAATAGAAATACGGAACTTGTAGGTTTTTAGGGAAAAAAATGAGACCGCAACTTAAGTACTGAGAGCTTGTATTGGGAGTAACTTACGTTACTGGTGCATAAACGAAGGATATAATTAGCTTAGCGTTTTATATCGGATGTAGAAAAAAGATTAAGTAAATTAGGTTTGATACTACATTACTATATATTATAATTCTATATTTACAAAAATAGACTTAGAGAAACATTCTTAATTAATAATGGCGGCGTAGTATTAAAAATTAATTCATGAAAATTCTTTCTATACAATAATTTTGTATATCAATGCATAATACGTATATTTATATACATGTATATATAAATTTATATATAATATACCATACGCTAGAGATAAAATAAAAATACTTATTATATTATCATATACATAAAATCAATTGACTAATCAAATTAACAAATAATTTTCTTTACGACAGGCTCCACGACCCATTGAACCATGGGAGGACATAATGGATGCTACTGCAGATAAAATAGGTTGTCCATCAGTTGTTTCAATGGAATCATTGAAAAAACTTGATGATGTCTTAGATATTGAAGACTGTTTGTCAATGACTATAACCACACCAAATGTAACCGGAAAATATCCAGTATTAGTGTATTTGCATGGTGAATATCTATATGAGGGAAGCAATTCTGAAGCTCCAGCTGATTACTTTCTAGAAAAAGATATTGTATTAGTAACACCGCAATATCGTTTAGGACCATTTGGATTTCTATCAACAAAAACTTCTGAAATACCGGGAAATGCAGGAGTATTAGATGTATTTTTAGCACTACAATTTATAAAACATTTTATTAAATATTTTGGTGGTGATGAACAACGAATAACTTTAGCTGGACAAGTAGGAGGTGCAGCTATAGCGCATCTATTGACATTGTCACCAATGGTAAATCAATAAAGTAATTTTAATAATTTCAAATTAATTATTATAAAAAATATATATTAAAGGTGCAAAAAGGTTTATTCCATCAAGTGATCTACCATTCAGGTTCAGCGTTAATGCCAATATTTTTGGAAGATAATCCACGCAAACATGCGCAAGAAATAGCAGAAAAAGGCAGATGTAAGATGAAAACAGTACGAGATTTAAATGAATGTCTCATGGATATGTCTCCTTTGGAATTGTTATCGTCTTTTATGGAACATGCTGTAAATATAAAAGATTACCAGTAGTAAAAAATTATTAATTTGTATACACTTACAGCTAGAAAAATCTGATTTAGGTGTAGGACACACGGGTGGTGTGCAATTTACTATTGGTGGTCCAAGTGGTGTCTTACCGGAACATCCATATGATCTCATGTTAAATACAACAAACAAATATCCTGCTATGGGCGGTTGTCCAAAAAATGCCGGAACACGTGTTTTGAATGGTAAAGTTGTTTGTAAATGACTAAAAATACGATTTGAATAATAAAAATATTTCTCTTTATAGAAATTGTGGAAAATGATTTTGAGGGTAAAATACCGGACGACGAGTATACAACATATGACTATATCGACCATGTCATACGCCAAGTTGTCGGTACGGATAAAACTATGTTGCTGACAAGTTTTATAACTCATGACTTTTTTAATCGCAAACTAATGGAAAATGGTACTTTTAGTTCATTAATACCACGTTTAATCGATGTAAGTATTTGTGTTTTATGTTATTTATGATAACTGATTTTTTAAAATAATTTAGGTTGCTGGTACCTTAAACCATAAGTTACCAGTATTGCTAGCTCTCAATATGAACAACAAGCATATGCCACAAAATACTTTCCTCTATTCGTTTGACTATGAAGGTGAATTTAATCGTTATCAAGACATGGATGAAGAAACTCATATGCAAAGCCCTTTTAAGGCTGGTGTATCCTTGACAGATGAAGCTTTATATCTATTTCCATATCCCCCCCATGTCACCAAGCTCAGTCCACCTGACGTTGCTATGGCGAAACGCATGATAGATTTGTGGACTTCATTTGTAATCGACGGAAACCCATTAGGATCTCATCGTGGCGGTTATTGGCCACCTTTGACAACACTTTACGGCCCGTATATGAAAATTGATGAGACATTTACAATAGCAGGAAATTATTTTAAAGAATTTTCGGCAACACTTTTTGATGAAGAGAATGGACATAGTTTAATAAGAGAAGTGTATTATCAGAGAAGCCATCGTGTAAATAAAAAAAAATATATGTTAGAATATCGAAAGAATTTGTATGGCCCAAGAAGTTCTGTTAAGCGACCCAATAGGAACAAGATTCGTCTTTTTAAACATTTTAATTGAAATTCAATTGTTATATTGTAGAAAATAAAACGTATTTCGTATAATAAATGACTTGCTTTTTTAATGCTATTAATACAAAATATTAAAGAAAATCAATAACGATTCGATATATATTTAATAACGATTCGATATATGTACATGTGTATGTATGATTTATTCCAAACAAAGAGAGGGGTACATAAAATAAAATAGATAGAAAATAGAACACAATAGAACAGACACATTTTGGGAAGTTTCCCCTAAAATACAAAAATGTAATATAGCATATTTAATCAATTAATATTATATGAATCAAATAAATAAGCTATTGAAATTCAATACATTAAAAAATTTTAATCAAAAATATTCGCTAATGTACTAGGCTGTTGACTACGTTTATGAGCCTTTAATAATAAGATAGTTCATAGGTATATACCGTCTAAAAAAGCTATAATTTTTTTTTTTAAAATTATTAATACTAAATAAAAATTGAATAGAACATTGTAATTAAAATGAATAAATGAATTACAATGTCTCTGTTAACAGCCCTCGGTGCCCATAAGTAGTCCTCAAGTACTACCGCGCCCAACGTTGTTTAATAATAAATTTAATAACATGTTATATTTGTTGGTAAATGCATCTAAATAAATCCAAGACAGCTGTTTAAATAGTAATAAAATTAAATGAAATAACAATTAATGAACTTTCTAAATGTATAAAACTATGAATGTGAAACTATCAAATCCAATCACTAATAACGACACCTGATATAACGTCCAATTTGGAACCTTTTATAGGGATCTCGAGATATTCATACAGCGACATATTGGGTTTTACTACAGTCAACTCTCACAAAATCTGTAATTTTACTACTGGCTACCGGTTATAACGATTGTTTCTCGTTATATCAGTGACAAGTGTAATAAATATATTTAATGATATTAAAAATTATTAAAAAATATATTTTTATTAATGTATTATTAAAAATATTCTTCAGCTGCCACTTTTCTGTTAGGAGCATTCTAAACAACCTATTACTTAAAGCAAATGCTGGCCACCTACGATAGAGGAACAATTCGATGTTTTTTTCTATGCTTAAATTTTTTTTAAAACAAATTTCTGATAAAATAACAAATGAATACATAAAATAATTGAAAAAATTATAAATATGAGCAGTATTTTCTGTCTTCTATTTTATTTGTTTAATTTATTTATAAGTGAACAACAACTATTAGTTAGAACATATGAATTGATCCGGACTCTTCTACCATAAGTTGTTATAAAAATATTAAGACTATAATATCAAAAGTATTCATAGGCAACTAAATTAAAATCAATTTAAATAATTAAAGCAACCAGAAGATATTTCTCTTATTAAAAGGTAAATGAAATGCTCAAATAAATTTTTTAAGGTTAGCAATAGTACATACTTTATAAAGGTTCCTCTGGTTTTCTGGTACGTACTTATCTGAAGTAAAGATGCTATGTTAAAATCCCTTACAGAAATTATATATTATTGCTTTGTAAATAATAGAAATTCTTGAAAAACTAAAACTATATATGAGACTTCTGCAAAATATGGTAGCAATTAAACATATTCTAACATTTAAATTAGCTATCTTTTCTTTTATATATAATTAAATAAGTTTATTTTTCTTTATTTAGTTGGGTAAAAAAAATCTAACCAAACAGATGCATTAATAAATGCACTAAGTACACAATTCACTTTAAAAAACCAGAAATGTAAACCAGATTCTCGAAATACTTTCATTAAATCTATATTGGAAATATCCGTATACAGATTGCCCATAGGCAATCATATTATACAGTAGCATTATAATTTTTAATTTAATTTTTTAATGTTTGAAATTGAATTAAAAATTAAAATCTTTTTAAAACAATTTCAGTTAATATAATTAAATTTTTATTTTATATTGATTTACTATTTATATGTGCATATAATATAATATACTATATTTTTTTATTACTAGAAAAACTATAAGACACAATTCATTCCTATCTAGATTAATAAAAAATGCATATTAATTACTTTACTCAGTTAAATTTATATCAATTACGAATCTAATGACGATATAAACAAAAAAAATGAAACAAAATAATAAAATGTAAAATTTGTTTCTCTTTTCATTTGCTTTGATCATCAATCCAAATAGTTGTGAAGAATAAAAAAAATAAATCAATTAAATAAAATAACAAAATTTACGGTTAAACTTATCAATTTGTATATTAACTCTGTGCATAAATATTTTAATTATAAAAAATAAACAAAAAAAAACTTGGAGATGCCGGGGATTGAACCCGGGGCCTCTCACATGCAAAGCGAGCGCTCTACCACTGAGCTACATCCCCTGTTGGATAATCTAAACTCAATGCACTTCAGGTTCTCCGAGAAAATAAATTTACTTCAATTTGATTGACGAATTATTTTTATTTTTCGTGACCTACTCAAACACAATTCAAATTATTTCTCAATGTTTCCAAAATTATTTGAAAATATTTACATACATTTATGTATGTACATAAGTACTTGAATACAAGTAGATAATATTAATTTAATTTGCTTTAAATCACATTTAAAAAAAAAGATTTTCATTTTATAAAGTAATATGTTGAGATACATATGTATCTTTTAACAAATATTTACGTATATAACATAAAAGAGTATACATTCATTTTGTCCATGAGAGTCACTCCACACTACAAATATGAACGTTATTTCTTTTTCTTCCAAGTTTTGCAAATACTTACTATACTTAAAAATTTTTACTAAATATTTAAATATTTAATATTACTATTAAAATTTAATATTAAATTAAATATAATATTAAATATTAAAAAAGGTCTAATAAGCTTTTAGTATTAATTAATATAGAAACTACATTAAAACATTTTTATACAATTCTGAAATTGCATTTCTAAATAAGGAAATATGTGTATGTAACATAGTATGGTCAGTATATATTGTTTTGGAATTTTTATAAATATTCATATATACATGTTAAGAGTATTTCAACCCTAATAAATGTATTGGCAGTGCCGTAGCAAAATGAATATTGTTAGTTTTGTACCTAAATTTAATTATGTTACATGCTGAAAAACTATAATTCTCATTGACTTGATAAATGTTCTCACTTATATAGTCATTTTCTGTATGGCAAAGTTATCGCTTCTCGGCCTTATGGCTAAGATCAAAGTGTAGTATCTGTTCTTATCAGCTTAACATCTGATAGATCCTCCATCGGAGGACAACAAATGTTAAACTGATTTTTGGAATCAGATGGAGTGTTTAGGGGCTTGCTCCACCTCTGTCGCGGGTTGGCCCGGTATTGCAGTACAGCCGGGATACGGCCCAATTATTAATACATTCAAAAATTAAAATCAAAGTTAATTAAGATTGAGAAAAAGTGATGAGTGAATTCACTTTCAACTCAAATTATTTGTACATTTTTGATACATACAGTTTCAAAGATGCAAATAAGAACGCAAGGAGTATTGTGTTGTCATTTTGAAGCTATAGTAAGTTGCACACATATGGCAATAGGTTTTTAATTATTAACTATAATTATATTGGTAAAGTTTTGTTAGACAATCCATTATGGAAAGCAGTGTGTATAGCTTGTCTTTATGTTAGGATGTTGAGAAGAATTCAAACGCATTTTTGCGATAATTTTATAATACTTTATAATTTAAAGTGTATATTTATATATAATTTCATTTTAATCAAAGCTACTTTTACAATATAATATTACAATATATGATATACACACAGCAGAAAAAGTATGCGGTCACCCATAAAATTTTTTCTTAAATTGGTTTTTTTAATTGATTTTTTGGTTTCTGATTTATTTTAACCAAAGAAACAACAATAAAGTTCTAATATAGAAAATCAATAGTTATTCTTTAAAAAAAAATTTAACACAATTATATGCAAAAGCAACAACTTTTAAAACAGAAAAAATCTACAAATATTTCTTAATATTTACATTAAAACAATTAAAATTCACAGAAATCTTAAATTTAATAGCCTGTGGGATAAGCTATGCTTTAATAACCTTTTTTAAGCGTTTTTGCATAGACTCAACCTGTTTTACAGTATCCTGTGCGTTTATTTTTAGCCATTCTTCCTTCACGACGGTTCTTAATATGTCTTTGTTGAAAATCGTATGCTGGCGAATCTTATTTTCCAAATGAACTCACAGATGCTCTATGGGACTAAGGTCTGGTGATTCTGGTAGTGTTTGAAGTTGCCTGAGAGCATACTACAGCAACCAAATTCGTACGATCGCTGTTGTATGCTTAGAGTCGTTGTCCTGCTGAAACAAAAAAGTTGCCTCAAACACAGTGACGACTGCTCTAAGGTGCGGAGGTGTGCGGTGAACACCCTAATATAATTTACAAAATGTTAAATAACATAGGTATATAAATTTATTAAGTATCTTTACATCAAGAATTATTATTATTTATTACATTTCCATATAAATATATATTTTTAAAGTTTTAGCAAAAACAATTAAATATAATTGTCTATGAAAACTCAATTAATTTGCTTCTGTTAGCCGCTATACTTGTTAGTTGTGCTCATATATTTGCAGCTCAAATCACAGAACATTTCTATTATATTTCGTCTCTCCCCTTTGTGTGCAAAGAAGTTGGCCGCACATTCATACGTTACATATGAACAAAATAATGTGCGTGTGCTCCCGTTCGTAATATCAGAAATAGAGATTTACATATATAGTGGGAATTGTATGAGAGTAATTTTCTGTTCTATTCGAATATCAACTGTATGCATACGAATCCAACATGATGATTTGCCAAAGTGGTTGCATGAGCGGCTGAAGTTTGCAGCTCATCTCACCATACATTTCTATCACATTTCGTCTCTCCCCTTTTAACAGCAGCACCCACGAATTTCTGTTCTTATTGTGCGGGGTACTTGTGCGGACATTGCAAGTGGTTTCGATTTTGTTTGATCACTGCACAAACATGTATGTTTCTAAGTACAAACTCTTTTGTTTGAAAAAA